AAAAAGGAAAGAAAAACGATGGGGCAGCTATGGGGCAAGGGGAAACAGACAGTCTGTGACCACGGGTTGAATGACCAACGTTAACTTAATAGAAGTTGACACATGTCGCCACGCATGCAAAATGGATTCATCCAACCGCAGCCGGGCAGTGTCGAGAGTTCACCCACCCTCGTACCTCCATTGGAGTTCTCGGTTGCCATCCGCCTCCACAATCTGCAGGGGGTGGCCAATGGCCATTGTGTTCAAACGCATTTGATTTCAATATCTGTGCTTGCACCACTGTGCCCCCCACAGACCCTGCATTGCCACAAAAGGCTGTGATGCCAATTAACACTCCCGATTGTGGGCTTTACTGCCCCGGGGTAGATCGGATCTGATAAGGTAACTTTTGAGAGTCTTAATATTATGCAAGCCATTACCCTCTCTAGGTATGAATAGGCAATATAATTCATTAAAGGTATAGGATAAGTATCGGGTCTCGTATCATTAAAACCCTGCCGGGCTCACATAGATAGTCTATACTTTAATATAGACTTTATCATATTCCAGTTCGGATCTGATTCTTTTAAGAATCTCAATATTATACAAGCCAGTACCCTTGGTATGAATAGGCAGTAAATAAATAGGATAAATATCGGGTATCTTATCATTAAAAACCTTCCCCTTTTGCATAGATAGTCTATACTTCTATATAGACTTTAACCGATTATCTCAAGTCCCTTAAGTTAGGGTAGCTATAGACCATCAGAGACAAGAAACCCATGTATAGAATAGAGAAAAAAATCATATTTCCGGCCATGACTGTCGCATGTCAATTTAGGCTTTCGGTTTTCTGTGTCTCCCTGCCACCAGAACCCACCATCGCCATCATCATCCCCTCCTATATCAATCGAACTATGAGGGTGGAGCTCTACCGAGAGAACTTTCTTGCGCAGCGTACCATGAAATTTGTTTGTTTACAATTGCAAACTCCACCATGTTCTGGCTGCTTCATGGGTCCTCCTGCTCTACAACGTTCTACGTTCTTGTTGTTAATACTGTGATGTTTTGTATCTGATGTTGTTGTTATTGTTGTTGCTATCAAATACCGGAAATTATTGTATGTTATGTGCCAGCGTCGACATGGCCCACGGCATCGTCATCACCGCTATCGAAACGCGGCGTAAATCCTGTATTTATGTATTTTTGGCTGCTTATTTCATGCATCGTTGGCTGATACAACACTGAGCTCCTCTGACTTAAATTTTAAATCAATTACCGAGAGTTTGTATTAAAGGGGTAACTAAAGTCCTTAGGCTAATTTGCTTTAAATTCTTTTGAAATAACATCGGCATGTCGTTGACATTTATGCGCCAATGAGTTCACAGTTCAGGCAAAAGTTAATGGGCCCAAATAATAAAAATGAGGCAACTGTTAAGAGCGAGGCGTTTCTCTATAAATTTGCATAACGTTAGCAAGTGCAATCAAATAGTCGTAAATAAATGTGAGCCGCATTGCATTTATGGCAGTTGCAGCAACTGCACATAAAGTTCCCACAGTTCCCCATGGTCAATGCACTCGAGGGCCCCGAAGGATAACTGGGAAAGTGGTTGGGAGTGCCACAAGCATATATACATATACCATAAATATATATATATTGTATAGAAGGAGCAACAGTGACGCCAACGAACAATGTGCCCACTTGAGTTGCTCCCTGTGTTGCTGAGAAAAAATTATATTACAACATTGTGTATAAATTGTGATTTCCAGGCAACAGAAGTAGTAGCATTTAAGCAAGTGCTATACACTGAGAAAAAAGGATTTTTTCTTACTCTTACACTTCTTAACACCTTATAGACCTCGTTTTCCAGTGTAATTGAGTACTTATGTTTGCGGCGTATGTTAACCCCTTGGCTGCTTCTGGGGTCGACTCGCTCACGCTTCGTTACTTGGGCTGCTTGGCTTGCAAGTGAGTGCGACAGTGTGTCAGTCAACAACAAGAACAAAAACAATAACAAGGACGGGCTGGCGGGTAGGGGCTGGCGACCAAAGGGGCGGATAAGCAATGTGCGTGCGCCGCTTGGTCGGTTTTAACACGCACTTAACGCACCCCTTCTGTTAACTGCCGGGTGCTCCCTACTCCCTACCCCGATCCTACCTCCTGCAAAACCCTTCATCAACCCTCAGAGTGAATGGAGAGTGTGTAGAACCCAACAATGTAATCTAGGGTCCGTCGACGACTGCTCATTTCCACTACAAAAGTTAATATGCTGCTAAAATGGCATTAAAAATGTGGCACAGTATAGCCCTTGGTGAAGAAAGAATCCCCCACCCGATAACTTCAAAAGTATAAACACCTCACGACACAGTTGCAAAGGGACCTTGTGGCTAATAAAGTTGGCCAAGTTAAGAAAAATTTTAGAATGGGGGAAACTCGTGCCAAGAAAAACTCCCCTGGCAGAAATGGAAAAATGAGGAAACGAGATCTGCGACTTGCGCTGCGAAATGGCGAGCGTTTTGCACTTTTCGCACAAATTAAAGTTTATGTAATGGTCGGTCCCCCGGTTAAGTGACCAATGACAGCCATATGAAAACCTTTGACATAGACTTTTTATTTTCCAACTTTGTCATGAGTCATGAGGCAACTACGAGCACTTAACTTTGACATTTATGAGAGGAGAGGTTCGACTTTTAAGCTGGGTTGGGTAACATATTTGTAGAGTCATGACATCTACGAGTGTTGGAATAACTTTCTTCTCAACTAGTTACCTAGTACAAGATAGTAATTAGTTAGTAATTAGAATGCCTATGAGCGTGGGAGCCCCCCAATCGATCCATTGTCCTTTCGCATTAAATGCAAATCAATAGAATAGAGCGCCGGGTATTAATTAGCATTTGAGGAGGTATGTCCGCCAAATTAATCTGACATGTTCAAGCTAATTAAATGGTCTCGTTGTAACCTCCAATTCGACCCAAAATTTACATAACAAAACTAAACGAAATGCGGCAAATTAATAAACTGAAACAAAATGTGTGTGTGGCAAGCATCAATCAAAATGTGCAACAGACAACTAATGCGACAGGTGGGGCAGGGTGCAGGGTGCAGGGTTGTAAGTGGCTTTTGTGTGAGCTCATTAAAGTGATTACGCCACGCCCCCAACAAACGCCCCAACAAACTTGCAACTAAATACGCCCATGACAATAGTATGTTTGTGTTTTTGAGTGTGGGAATGTCAAATTGCATACAATTTTTGCATGCAACAACAATAGAGGAGGGGGGTGTGGAGGAGAGATTGTCAAAAAAAAAAAAAATTGGCCAACAAAACGCTCCCAAAGCACTCGGCAAAATAACCAAGTACCCATACCCCATACCCCATGCCCATGGAGCTGCTCCCATTTCAGTTGTTTAGCTATGCATTAGATTCCACTTCTTTTGTTGCACCAACAGAAGCGACAACTTTATATGGGCGTGGCCCCCGCCCCATTCTATATGTGTGTGTTGTCGTCATAGTTGTTGTCACTGGTGCCTGCACAATAACAACGCCGGTGCATCCGCTTTTTGATGCTTGCCTTTGCTTCTGGCTCTGGCTCTGGTTGCTTTTTTTTTTCATTTTTTTCGTCTGAGCTTGCAGTTGCAACTTTTCATTGTCAGTGTCATTGTTGCAGCATTATTACGTATGCCATTGCATGTATGAGTGCAACGTGAGGCTCCATACGAGTCTAGAGGGGCACACACACCTTCTTCTTCTTCTTCGGTTGCCAGACCCATTGTTGCCGAGTTGCATAAAAAATTGACCATTGAACCGTCGAGCGAATATTCTTTTCATTTTCCATTTTCTTCGCTTTTCATTCTCCGCTTCATGCGTGGCTCGCTTTTAAAATGAACGCCATTCGGACGCCTTTTTTGCATAAACCATGGATGCCACACACAAAAAACACGTTGCAGTGTTGCACATTTTCATCGAAATGAAAGTTTTTCTGTCTCCACTTTGTCTGCCCAGATGACGGATCAAGGTTTTTGTCACAAAAAGAGAAAAAAACAAAAATGATTCTGTGGTTTGCTGAATTTTCATTTTCAGATCCAGTTGTAGTTGGAATTTAAATCGTAGATTTATGAAGGGTTATAGGGTTTCTCGGGGTTTGACTAATTGTGACTACCTGGTACCTGCTACCTGGTACTATTTACTTTTATCCTTTTTAAGGTAAGGTAACCAGATTCCAGTAACCAGTAAACAGATTCAGTTGCAGGGCGAATTATAATCGAATATTTATGGAGTTAAGGTTTAAGGTATCTCAGATAACTCTAGAGGTCCTTATTCAATAGAGATACAGATATTCAATAGAGAGATTCAACAGAGAGATATAGTCAATATGATACCCGGTACTCCTTCCCTACTTTTCTTACATTTCAGAAATGTAAACCCTTCTCAATACAACATTTTGTTGTATATTATGGAGTGCTAGGACCTAACCATTAACTAGTAAGCAAAATAACAAGTCCATGACTCCCCTAAAAATGTTCTATCATGCCCATATCTATCATCTACGAGTACCGGATCTAGTCTTAACCTTAAACCGTGACATCTAATCTCACAGCTCTGATAAACAAGTTGTTAAGCCCAACTTGTGAGAACCCAAGCCACTTTAATTCGCGAGTTGACAAACTGACAACCTGCACGTAAGATGAGCAGAACAAAAATGATTAGCAGGCACTCGCGACTGCCATAACTCAGCTGTCAAAACAGCAACGAAATGTTATCAAACAATTTCAAGGTTGACTTGTGTCCTTCCCACCTTCTCCTGGAGATGCCATGCCTTCAGCTTCCAGCTCAAAACTGAGTACGAAATAAAGTCGGGAAACTTTGTTTTGGCCATGCCAGGCAAATAAATCACATTTAACAATGTGCGAGCGAGAGTATTTTTCATTTCTGCATCGGCAACTTACTTTGCACGAAAAATGGAAAATTCTTAAGAGATGGGGGTATAGAGGATGCTGGGGTCTGAAGCTTATTTCGACTTACCTTCGCGCACATTTTCATAGGCGTCCTCGACATGTGACTCCTTGTAGATAATGGAGTGAAAATCAAGTTCGTCCTCGGCGTTATCCTGCTCATCCGCAGGTTTTTCCGATGTGGATGGGAATGTAGAGGACGAGGACGACGACGAGGATGCGGATGAAGAAGTCTCGAAAAGCTCTGGATACTGCGTCGTAGTCGTCGTCGTCGTTGTTGTGGATTCAGCAATTTTCTTTATGAAGTTTTCTGTCTTACTATCAACGGCAGTTCTGTTATTATTTTTTGTTTTTGTTAGTGGGCTGCTAGAAGTCCTTGTTCGTGTGGTGGTTGTGGTGGTCGAGGATGTCGACGGTGTTGCTTTTGTTACTGTCGGTGTTGTCGCCGTGCGATTTGTGGGAAAATAATGTTTGGCATGTTCAACATAATAGGCATCACGTTCCGTTATAATTTTACCCTCGAATACCCCATTGTGTATGGAACCAAATACATAACTATTACGATCCCCTATCACTTCGCCCTCATAGATATGATCCGTGGAGACATCAATGGGGCCATTGCTATCATAGAACTATGGATCAGAAAGAGGTTTGGATTAATTGTTGATTTTATATTTTAAGGATTATATTAATACTCACGTCTAACTTATCGCTAAATGTATTTAAATCACGTTTTAATCTAAGATGGAAGTCTCTTCCATGTGCTGCAAACTTTAAATGTACATAATGATCTTTGGTCACTGATCGTCGCGCTCGGTTGTGACTAGCTCGAATGTGCTCGTGATCATAGTTGAGTGTTTCGTAGTGGGATATGTATTCGTTGAGTCGCTCATGACCTGCAAAGAGTTCACAGAAATGGGATGCATGTTAGTATCAAATCTTAAAAATCGATTTCAGAAACAGAAGAATGAGTAACAACCGCAAATGGAATTTAATTGATGGCCGGAAATTGGAAGAACACTAGACCGGAGGAGAGTGCAGGACTATGTAGCAATGGCAAAGGCCTTTGGTCACCTCAAAGACCTTTCATTTCCCTGTCACCACTGGCGACACTACCTTCACTTAATACTTTTACCATTTGGACGGGCTTTCGAGCTGGCATCTGGTGGATGTATCGGTGTGGACTGGTGTTTCTTGTAATGCATTTACTGTTGCAATGGCCCTCTGATGGCTGAAAGTTGTTGCACATGCCACAGCCCAGTCCAAATGGCAAGTGGCACTTGTGTGGGTGTGCCAGGATGGCTCGACCCCTCCCCATCTCTGACTGGCACAAACATATTTATTTTGGCAGATGGACTGGAAAAATGGAATACCAGCCAGAACCCAACGACATCGATGGCAGGGAAATGGTTCAAAAGAGTTCTTCAAAGTGCTCGTTTGGAGGTCGAGGGAATTCTTGTCCCATTATTTTCCCCCATACCCTAGTTCAAAAGTTACACAACATTTTTAATGTACTTGCAACGCACACACAGTGGCAGGCATAAATGCATTACTTACGATAGCATTTTCAACGGAAATGGAGTGAAAAACGGAGTGAATGGAGTACCAGAGACCTTTAATTATGTATCTATCTAATCACGTCTTGAAAGGGAATAATAATCAGCCAGCCACTTATGCCAAAAATGGAGTAACCACAACCCAACAATCAAAATCTGTGGCCCTAAATATTTCATCAAACTAATCAATTAAGTGGCAAGTGGAAAGCAGCACCATATAGACCCTCTTTCATTAATAGACACTTTTAATTAGAGCTCCGGATAGAAGTTGCAGTTGGCATATGAATGAGTAAAGAGTTTTAATTAATTAAAAACTTGCGTTAAAAAATGATTCAAAAATAGGTAACAAAAAGGGAGAAAGTGCCTGGATGTGCCATGATGCGGGCCCCACTTCAAAACGACTGACGGAAAATTACACAGAACCAGAACCAGAAAATCTGAGGGAAAAAAGCAAACCGAATGGTTAAAATTTGCTGCAAGGGTTCTAAAATGCGGGGGAGCTAGGGGTATGGGTGGGAGGGTAATTAAACTGAATGTTCAAGTAAACATTAAACCCAGCTTTTTCCCATTTTTCTTTTTGTATTTCAGTCAGGACGAAATAAGCAGAAAATAGCGAAAGGCCAGCAACGGCAACGGGAGCCCCTTGGCCGGGGGTCAGGTCACTGTAGTAGTTGACCCACAAAACCGGCACAAAGGTTTTTTCCTACCTCTACCTGGCCAACAATGCGGAAAGCTTGCTCAGGGACTGATTAAACAAAGCCAAGAGCCAGAGGAGGGCTGGAATCATGAGCAGATATAGATTTTTCAGAAGCCCAAGGTACGATACAATAGTCACACCATCCACTCTGGGAATTGTAATGGGAACTATGAAATCTACTTGTTAATTAAACCACAAATAGAGCTTTTGATTGGAGAATATTGAATTACTTAATTAATTCAATGATACATAACACGAATATAGTGGCTTAAGTTCCATATTTAGAACTGGAGTAGACTAGTCTTGTATTTATTTACATTATCGAAATGAAATCCATTTGGTTTCCTATCCCAATCAGTGACACCTTGACTTACATCTCCGCCTGTTGCTTTCCGGTTTTTCCGGCCTGGTTTTTCCAATTTCCCATCGATCCCCGCCACCAACCCTCCACCTCATAGAAGCGCCAAGCTTCTCGCTTCAGCTGCACAAATGGCACAAATAAATACAAAAGGCAGAGTGGAAGAAGAAAAACCAGCTTGAAACTACTTTCGCTACTCTCCGGGGATGGGGGATAAGCAGGAGATGGTTGGCGGGGGGAGGGTCTAGGCGGAAAATTGAATATGGCCAAATGCGCTTGACCAAAGAAAAGGCCAACATAAACATGGGAAAACCTACAATAACAATCTATGACTGGCTGTGTCCGACTTTTCCAGCCCCAGCCAGCAAAATAAAGAAAAAAAAAAAAAAAAACTTTTCTTTTCAAATGGCTCTCTTCTCAGACCCATTTTGGCCAGTTTTGTTTTTTCTTCTATCGACCATCGACTATCACTTGAAAAACAATGAAAAAGTGCCCAAAATCCAATCTAGAATCGAAAAGAAATAGTACAGATATTGGAGCACTTGAAGCACTAGTTGGGCCAAGTGAATTAACGAAAAGCGAAAAGAAAAGATGGGTGAGAAAAGCGATTCTCACTGATATTCCATTAACCCAAATTCTCGTCAGTATCCCATCGATTTATGTCGCCAGCTACGACAAACGAGAATCTAATGCGCTTCACTGCGGAGATAAGCGACACAAAGGACACATCCAGATAGGGGGAGACTTTCTGATGTCCAGCTGAAATCCAAACCAATCCCACTCTTGGTGTTATTCATTTTTAAACTGCATGACCCAAGCATCATCCGAGCATCATCCAAGCATCTCAACACAATGCCACTGCTGTGCCACAATGATGATTCAATTTAGTTGCAGTGCGGCAGACACCCAGATACCCAAACCGCTTAACTGGCTCTCAAGTGGAATATCTGCGGCTCTGGGCTCTGGGTGCTGGGTTTTTGGCTTTTTTTGATTGATAGGCTTTGGAGGGAGAAGTCCTCCAAGGATGAAGAGCATTGCTCCTGGCAACCCCGCCAAAATCGACTTAGATTTGCGATTCGTTTTCAGTTTTTGAGCTTGAAGTTGATGGATGGCACTGGAACATGAACTCTGTTCTAAAATTTTCCATTAAATGATTAGAAACCCAAGCAGTCTGACCGATTACTGGTCAGTGTTTAATACAATATTCCCATAAATAAAATTACGCAGACAAGAACGCTTCAATGGTTTTTGTTTTGGAACAAATTAACCTAATAGCAATCCAATTTAATATTTGCTTTTTATTTTAGATGTCTGCCCAGACTCACCATCACCTCCATCCATCCATCTTGGGGTTGTCTGAAAAATCTTATTGGACACGTGCGTAATTTGGCAGAGCTTCAATTTAAATTCAAATCGCCTCGAGTTGCAGGAAAATGAAAAATAAACATCAATAAATCTTTTCCGAATCTTTTCAGAATCCCTAAAAGGCCGAGGCTTCTTTTATCGATTACATTTTTCTTGTAAAATGTGTGAGAACTTGTCTTTTTATTAAAAACAAATTAGGTTTTTCCAAGAAGGTCATTCTTAAAAATTGTTTCATTTTTAATAAGAGTTCCATTTTATTTTTCAAACATGTTAGTTTGAAGGACTTTGGGTTGATAAGACGATTGCAGTGTTACGTGATTTATTGCAATTTCTTGGCTTTTTATTTGACAATCTTTCGTGCGGTTTCTCTGCAGGAGAAGTGGCAGGACCACCGACACTTTGGTCCCCACCCAACACTCCCCAAGTTTCCAAGGGGAAAAAGTTTCATCAGAGATTTTTTTTTATGGTTTTGAGACGCGCAGCGATGTCAGTTGGAACCTTGACATGCGTCCCATTAGGTTACAAAATGCCAACAAAATAAAGAAGATTCTAATGTAGAAACTTTAAAAAAGTTTTCACTGTTTCCGAAAAAAAAGAGGAATATCTGGATGGTTGATGTCCCGCAACGCACATTATGTTATCCCCACGGTGCATTGATTTAAATCTTGAAAAAAAAAAATTGTATATCAAGATTAAAATTTAAAATAAAGTCCTTTCTGAAAGCATAATCGGATACAGAACTCTTACAATGCCAACCCTCTTGCCGGAAGAATGCAAAAAAAAAAGTTTTAAATGCATATGCATATTTGTTGTTCGCACATACTCGTCCTCGGATAAAATGTTTGTTTTTTCTGTTCAACTCTGAGATTCTCTCCACTTTTCACTATTTTTGTCGCAGCAAAGCGCATTAAGTCTTTAGCTGAAAGGCAGCCAACTGCAGCAGAATCCGAGTCGAGTACAAACAGGCCAACAGCTGTAATAACAACAATTACAAAACGACAGAGCTTCTCACCCACTTACATAACAGTGCAAGGACTCGTGTTTTCTGGATTTTATAAAGCGAACAACAAAAAAAAACACTCAAAGGACAGCAGGATAAGGGAAAATCACATTAGAGAAATCTCCTTGGATTTCATGGAACTTCTCATTTCTCATGTCTACAATTTAATGAAGTTTTTAATAAAAAAGTCGATCGATTTCATCGGGGGCATGCGACCCCCAGCCTCCACTTGGGTCAAAAAATAATTACCATATTAAATTCTAGCAGCTGGGAAAACTTTGGCCGCAATAGCAGGAAAAATTTGACCACAGCCTCTATCGATAGATAGCGCCTCCAGGCCAAGCTGTCAGTTTGGGGCCAGTTGGGGGCGGCTGGCGGCAGGCAGTTGCATAAACTAGCCAATAATCCCCTGGGGGAGAGGCCATCCAGCAAAAGGACATGCACACGGACTGGGAGGATGGGTCCAACAACTTGGCAGCCAACTATTGAGGCGTCAGAGGACAACAGAGAGCGGGCCAATAGTTGGCCAAGTCCTTGGAAAATCGCCTTAAAGGCTACACAAATACTGCACTACATACAGCAGGAGCAAGAGCAACAACAAGCTGTTGGAAAACTTTTCCATGTAATGCATTAAAAGTAATTTCACTTGCTACCCGCTCCCCCCCAATACAGGCCAGGCCAGGACGGGCCAGGCCAACTTTGTGTGCAAACTTAAAAACCAAAGCCAGTCAACTTTCCCAAAAAAGAAACAGCAGCCTTCCCCCAAAAAAAATAAGGGAAAAAATTCAGAATCAGATGAACAACGAAATTCCGATACGTGCCTTGTGATTTGGATAACTAGGGCGTCTGGCAATAGTGTTGTCCTGTTAATATCTATTTAATATTTATACATTTTAAGGACATCTTTTAGCAGTTATTTA